ACAGTAAGGTTTTCAACACAAAGAAAAGCACGGGGTTATCTTAACATTCAGTGTGGGGCCCTGAGCTAATTGGGGGGCAGGTCAGAGAAGAGAGGAAATGGTGGGTAAGCTGGGCAGTGAAGACTAAAAAGAGGTTATTTACCAGAAGGTGGGTGTGAGCATGGGGGAATGGGCTGGAGAGTGAGGTTCTGTAAGAATAAACAGCCTGGCAAAGACATGGAGAAAAAAAGGCTTGACGTTTGCTAAGACACAGGACAGAGACCACTGTCTGGGAAGCAGGCCAGAGGGGACAGGGACGGAGGCCGAGAATGGTCAGTTCACACACTACCTGGCGAAGCCACCTGTGACCACATTTCTATTCTGAAGATGTTTCGGTGTGGAGGAAGGATGATTTTCTGTCTCTGTTAGGAGATTAAAAGGGGTCAAAGAAGGCCAATAAACATGGGAGCACAGATCCTTGGCAGAGCACAAGCAAAACACAGAGGGGGTAAGCCAAGTTCATAGCCATGGGAATTAGGACAGAAGAGAGACTCCTCAATCTGGTGGTGAATAAACTCAGTTTGAATCGAGAGACATTAGGAGTACTAAAGCCCAGGTTCTTAGACCAGGTTGAGAACAAGGAGGAGAAGCCACAGTTCATCTTCCACGAGCACACACACACACACACACACACGCACGCACGCACGCACGCACGCACATATACACGTGTATGCATGTACACACCACAGCGTCAACTTGACCAGTAGTCGTTGGCCAAGGTAGCCCTTTAGGAGCTTGCTTTTGATGAGGAAGAGAACTGATCAACTACTGTTTCACACAACCAAGTGTGTGGGCTAGCAGAGAGGATCTGCAGACCCGAAGGCAGGAACCATGGATGTCCTGGGTCCCTCGTTAACCAATATGACCCCCAACACCTCACTGGTACTTGCTTTGGGTATGGTTTGAATGTGTCCTTTGAGTGTGGCAATGTAAGAGCTAACAGAATGGAGGTTAATCCTCAGAAGAGATTGAGTTTCTGTGGTACCTCAGAGAGTTCTAGTGAGAGGGTTACCATGAAAGAGCAAGGCTGACCCCTTCTTATTCTGTGTGTGACCCTCCTTGTGCACATTCTCCACTATTGTGTGAGAGCGGGCACATCGCTGTTTGCACTCTCAGCTTCTAGAACCATGAGCTAAACACACCTCCTTTCTTATAAAGTACCCACCTTCAAGTATTTTGTTACAGCAATAAGAACAGGTAATTGGTCATAGGAGTCGATTATCAACAGTTCTGACAGGAAGGGTTCTCCACACTGCCACTACCATCACTGCTACTGTTGGTTGGTTTCATGAAGATTAGTCTGAAAGAGCGTGTGATGGAGTGAGGGATCCTAGGAAGGAGAGTCTGAGGCCGTCACCATGAGAAGGAAATGTAGCCTGCCATGGCACAGGGAAGTCAGGGAGCTGGCATGCTGCAGCTCAGGGACTCAACAGTGTGTGTCTGTGACAAGTACAGCTTTCATAACTGGAGACGCCGTGAAGGCTAATGCCCCAAGGACTCGTAGCCTACTGTCTGCTTGCTGCTTTTATCCGGCAGCTTCCCTCAGAGTCCACTGCTGTTGTCATGACGAATTCCTCCTTCTCAGCACCACGGTTTTAATTAGACTCGCTTCCTGTTTTCTCCCCACAGAAACCAACCAGTGTAAGATGTCTGACAGTACTGAATGCCTCGAGAGGGGGGAGAAAGGAAGACTCACTGTAAGCTAATGCCTGGCAAGGAGAAGCTTGGGGTCAAGGTGACAGAGTAGCCAGGCCACACCTGGAAAGAGTGTGGGAGAGGAAAGAAGACAGACAGACAGACAGACCCTGTCCTAGCTGCTGCTCACATGTCTCCAGTAGTGCAGCCAGGAATAGCTCGCATTTGGCCTGGAGAGACCACCCACCCCTTGCTGGAGTCTGGGGTTTCTCTTTAGTCTTGCGTCAGCGTAGTTGTATATCTGATTCTTGGCTTCCTGTATGGTTTTGGCTGGGCAGAACCTCTTGGAGCATTAGATGCGCCAATCTAATGATAGTTAATAAGACTACAGACTTCTGGAAGTCTTGAGAATGGAATCAGATGTGGAGACTCAGGAACCTGTCTGACCTGGGTGATCTCAAAGTTGAGGTCACTGACCCTGCAAATACTTCAGGCATTCCAGGGAAAGTAGGTTGTTGAATTAAGTTTGGGGAAGGGTAATATGACCAAATTAGAGCAAATTTTTCCAAAGCCACTACAGAACTATACAGACTGACCTTTGGCTGAGTATGTCCAATTTATGTAAGCTACCTCATCTCCATTTCCTCTTCAGGAAAGTAGAGCTAAGAGCACACGCTACATGAGTGCAACAGGGAATAGATATTCTGGCCAAATGGTATCAGAAGTTTAGGTCCAGGGAAGCCCAAACCAGCTGTGTGGGTACCTGGATAGTGAAGAAAGTAGACAGCTGTGGCTTAAATCTGAAATGTCCCATAGGCTCAACCTTGAACATGTCTGCCACCTGATGGAGCTAGCTTGAAGACTATGGAGCCTTTAGGAGGTGTGGGCTAACTCTGGGTTCTAGTACTCTCTCGCTCTGCTTCCTTGTCTACCACCATGTGAAGGAATTCTGCCATGTGCTCCTTCTACGGAGGCCCTCCATCATGTCTTCCTCACTATGATGGGCAGAATCCAGGAGCCAAAAACCTGCCCCCTCTTCTGTCAGGTTTGAAGTCACAGGGATAGAAACTCATCAACACACAGAAGAACAGCAATCTACTTGAACTTCCACTCAAGAAGCCTGGCTCTTTTAGTCCAGGATACCCACTTCTGTTATCTACTGGATGTTTGATTGTGAGAAGTACTTTGAGTCCCACGCCTAAGTTTCCCCATGTATGAAATGGAAACTGAAAACAGTATCTGACTTAGCAGGTCGTCTTGAGAGCTGAGTTAGGGCATTATGGCGGGAGCGCCTCAGACACAGTGAGCTTCTTTTCTCTTCTTCTTCCGTCACCAGCAGACGTTTCCCAATCCCCAGGAGTCCACAGAAGGTTCTGTTACTCTTCGGTCTAGGGAAGGCAGGTTTTTCTATCTAGTCTCACTTTTCAAAACTCCCCCGTTATCATCTAAACTCCTTTTCTCATCTGCTGGGTGGATGCACAGGACTCGGAATGCACAGCCACGACGAAATGAGCCTGGGTCCACGTGCAGCATACCACTCCCCCTTCTCCCCTGACCACCTGTGCTAGGAGAGAGCTTAGACTCTGGAGTTCTAAGTTAAACCATCTTCTGATAGGTTTGTTCCCAGGAGTCACCTGGTAATTCCTCAGTAAAGTTTAGTTATACCATGATGATGAAGATGATGATGATGATGATGATGATGATGATGATTTACTCCTTAGAAATAATATCAATGGTGAAGCAAACATTTGTGGTGATATTTTATTTGTATACCCCAATAAAGCTTATCTGGAGATCAAAGGAGAAAGCCAGCCACTATATTAAACATAGAAGTCAGGCAATGGTAGCACACGCCTCTAATCCTAGCATTCAGGAAGCAGAGATTCATCCAGATCTCTGAGTTCAAGGCCACACTGAGAACAGAGCCAGGCATGGTGGCACATGCCTTTAATCCCCAGCACTAGATAACCATAGAGGTCTGGAGGTCTATACAGACAGACAGGAAGTGATAGAGCTGGGCAGAAAGAGGAAGTGATGTAGCTGGGTGGAGAGAGGAAGTAAGATGGCAGGGCACAGAAAGGTATATAAGGCATGAATATACAGGAAGTAGCTCTCTTTCTTTGGCTGAGGATTTCCTAGTGGTAAGAATGTGGCTGGCTTCTTTCTGCTTCTCTGATCTCTCAGTTTTCACCCCAATATCTGGCTCCAGGTTTTTTATTAATAAGACCGTTTAGCAATTTGTCTTATAAACATTCTGCTCTTTCTCTAACTAGAACATATTCCCCTAATCTCTGAATCCCCTAAATACAACAATGGATTTGTTCATGCCTTTACTCCACATATAAACAGTTGATGAGCACTTGCTGTTTACACATTCATATTAGCTGAAGAGAGATAGAGAGATAATAATATCTCTACGGGACCTTAGGTTTCACAGAGGTTGACTGAGTAACTTCAGGGTGCTAATATGTGCTCTCTCTGTCTGTCTGTCTGTCTTTATCTGTCTGTCTGTCTATCTGTATTTCTCTCTCTCTCTCTCTCTCTCTGTGTGTGTGTGTGGGGGGGGGGGGGCTGTATCATCAGAAGCTGTGGTTTATGACAGAGTCCTTAAGAAACCAGTCAAACTGCTTCCAAGCTCAACTCAGGCTGGGTTCTAGGACAAACTCATCTTGACTTTCTATGTTCAAGAAAAGACAAGAAGGCTCATAAGAACTTACTTCCATGAAAAGCAAACATGTTAACAGAGTGCTGCCTTGTGGCCTCCAGGAGGAGGCCTCCCCTCCTTTCCTTCTGAGCCCTTTCTCTCCCTGACTGTGCCTGTCTGCTCCTTCTAGAATATGCTGTTACCTCCTGTTTTCCAAGGGAAGGGAGCAGAGGCTCAGCTGTGGCAATGTAGAGCTGGCTCTCTCCTACCTTGCCACCTCCGCACCTGGCCCTCACCTTTGCTCTTTGGGAATTCAGAGCACTAAACAGGCCGCATTGCCTTCCATCCCTGCAGACAACTAACTCTGACAGACCCAGGCCCTCACTGCTCATCCTGAACCCGAGTAAACCTTCATGAACTTTTCAGCCCAGACTTCCAGGCAGCTGGCCTGGGCCCAAGAGTGAAATGATGTCCAGGCATCTTTGGTAACAGCCATCATCTCCCACGCCCACAAGCTTATTTTTAAATCATTCTGAGATGTGCACTTTGATAAGCAGTGTGTGGGCAGGATGACTGTTGTGAGGCTTGTGCCCTCTCCCGTCAGCACTCGTCTTTCAGGAAGTGCTCAATAAATGTCCGAGGGCTGAGGAAGACCCTCCCACTGCTGAGCTCCCCTCCTTACCGCTCCGGGAAGAGCTTTTCCACGCAGTCTGTGACTTCATGGACAACCTGGAGCTCCGTGCCCTCATGAGTTCTCCTCCCTCTGATCTGGCACAGATGACTCTAGAAGTGACCGTGGACTTCAGTGGAGGACAGCTGTCGGGCAAGAGCCCTGTCCTGGAAGCCCTGCTGGGAAAACCAAAAGAAATGCCTTGGACTTGTTTGTGGATAACTGGTTGGCTCAAAGGATTCCAAATCCCAACCATGACTTTTTCCTTCTGAACCTATCATTAGGTCTGATTTTGTGCCAAACCAGCTCCGAAGCAAGACTTTGTAACCATGCCTGTTCATTCATTATTATTTTTAGGGCAGATCTGTTTCTCTTTGACTGGGGCCCACTGGGGCCCTCCCTTGCTTTGTCACAGTCAGGACAGCCAGCTTGGCAGCCCTCCAAAGACCATGCTTGCCCGGAGGTGCCTTTGCCTGCCTCTCCTGACTGGCGGCACCGGCCCGAGCTAAAGCGGCCTTTGTTCTGTCACAGTGGGTTATTTTTTCTTGGGCTTGGATGGCTCAGCAGAAATTATTGGATGCTCTTCAGGGTAGAAGCCCCGAGCCGCACAGTTTATATTGGAAATGGTGTACACCCTTCTGGTAGGGCAGAGGGGTGGGAAGGGTCACACACAAGTCAGTGCTGTCTGCCTCTTAAGCTCGGAGCCCTTCCCCGGGAACACCAGTGCTCACAGGAGTAAATAAGGAGAGGGAGCTGGTCAAGGCAGAAGAGACAGCTGCTTATCTCTGTCATCAGCCTGTGAAGCCACCCTCGGGCATCATGGGAAAAGGGAGAGACAACAAAGGGAAACAAAAGAAAGTGATATTTAAATCAGGTTAAACATGGCTGCCTGGGCCTCCCTCTTCTCTCTCCTTGCTTTCCCCAGCCTGATAACCTCTGCTCTAATCCCAACTTCTGTGAGACCAACTGTTTCACAAGCCACAGGTGACTGTGGGCTTGTGTTTTTATGCCTGACTAAATTCATTCAACATAACCGACATAATGATTCCACCCGCTCTGTCACACTTTCTTTTCATGGCTGCATAGTATTCTGCTGTGCACATGGACCATGTGTTCTTTATCCACTCATCAGTTAATGAACATGGAAGCTGTTTCCATGGACACCATGACTAGTAACCTCAGGAGCACAGGAGATGATTTAATGTCCTTTACATATGTGTTCATATTGACATTACACAATGTATACATTAATTAAAATAACACATGATATTCCATTAATGTGTTCAATTTTATGTCTTTTTGTTTTACTTAGGAGATCAGTCTAATTTAAAATTTTAAAAGGTAGTAATAAGACTAGAGAGATAGATCAGTGGTCAAGAGCACTGACTGCCCTTCCAGGAGACCTGAGTTTGATTTCCCACACCCACATGGTGGCTCATAGCCATCTGTATGTAACTCCAGCCCGAAAGGATCTGACCCTTCCCCGGCATCTATGGGGAACAAACACATATGCGAGCAAAACACTCATACACATAAATGGATGATAATGACAATAAAGATAGTATCCAACTCAAGAGGGTAGGAAAGTAAGGGTGAGGTAAGGGCTCCTTTGATCAGCCCTTTTCAGATGGACTCTGATGTGTCCCTTGAGGTCAGACAGAGCTGCGCCACACAGCACATTGCGCCTCTCATGTCACCCTGTGGCGTCAGTGCTGCTCTGGACTTGCTTTCTCCTCAGACTCCTCTTCCACCTGAGCCCTGCCTTCTGAAGGCCCCCCACTGCGCCCTCTGCTTGCCTGGCTCTCCTTCCAGGGGTTCCCCTCCAAGACCATGTATTTTCCTGCCCTCCATCCTCAAGGCTGCTGATTTCCTTAGGGTGAGCAAAAACTCACATGCCAAGAACCTCACAAGTCAGACAAGTCAGTGAAGATTGAAGACAGAGCAGCAAGGTCGCCCAGCACAGCTTCAGGTGTGTGGGGGGGGACAGGTTACCCAGCACAGCTTCAGGTGTGTGTGTGGGGGGACAGGTCACCCAGCACAGCTTCAGGTGTGTGTGTGTGGGGACAGGTCATCCAGCAGAGCTTCAGGTGTGTGTGTGTGGGGACAGGTCATCCAGCAGAGCTTCAGGTGTGTGTGTGGGGGGACAGGTCACCCAGCACAGCTTCAGGTGTGTGTGTGGGGGGACATGTCACCCAGCACAGCTTCAGGTGTGTGTGTGGGGGGGACATGTCATCCAGCACAGCTTCAGGTGTGTGTGTGGGGGGGACAGGTCATCCAGCACAGCTTCAGGTGTGTGTGTGTGGGGACATGTCATCCAGCACAGCTTCAGGTGTGTGTGTGTGGGGGACATGTCATCCAGCACAGCTTCAGGTGTGTGTGTGGTGGGGGGACATGTCATCCAGCACAGCTTCAGGTGTGTGTGTGGGGGGGGACAGGTCACCCAGCACAGCTTCAGGTGTGTGTGTGGGGGGGGGGACAGGTCATCCAGCACAGCTTCAGGTGTGTGTGTGTGGGGGGGGGACATGTCATCCAGCACAGCTTCAGGTGTGTGTGGGGGGGGGACATGTCATCCAGCACAGCTTCAGGTGTGTGTGGGGGGGGGACATGTCACCCAGCACAGCTTCAGATTGCTATTTGGGGAGGGCCTCTCCTCATTTTTTTTGCTATTGTTGCCATCTGGCTCTGGGTCAGTCTTCCCAAGACCTTCAGTATGATGTTATCTTTTAACTCTCTTCTCCTCTGATGCTATATGGAAAGAACATCTTCCAGGTTGGTTTCAGGACCACATGTTCATATACTTAGTGTACTGGGTGGCTTTGTGTGTCAACTTGACACAAGCTGGAGTCATCAGAGGAAGGAGCCTCAGCTGAGGAAATGCCTCCTTGAGATCCAGCTGTAAGGATCTCATTTCTCTAAATCAATGCAGGAGGGCCCAGCCCATGGTGGGTGGTGCCATCCCTGGGCTGCTGGTCCTGGGTTCTATGAGAAGGGGGGCTGAGCAAGCCATGGGAAGCAAGCCAGTAAGCAGCTCCCCTCCATGGCCTCTGCATCAGCTCCTGCCTCCCGGTTCCTGCCCTGTTTGAGTTCGTCCTGACTCCCTCCAGAGATGAGCAGCAATGCTGAAGTGTAAGCCAAACAAACCCTTTCCTCCCCAACTGCTTTTTGGTCATGTGTTTCATTACAGCATTAGAAACTCTAACTAAGACACTTAGATAACACTTTACAAATTAGAAGACACTTTTCTAACCCTCATTCGATAGAATTCTCCCAACAATCTCATGAAACTCATATTTCAATTCAGGCATGTCCAGGATCCCTCTGGCTCTCAGGAACAGGCAGGAACTTTTGCAGAATGAGGAACGGGAAGAGGAAGCTGGGACTCTGAGGGCAGTGGAGTTCTGGTTAGAGGACCTGAGGGTGTGGCCACCAGGGCCAGAGCAATGCAAATCTGGCAGGAAATGTCTTGGTTCAAGTCACCCACATCTTTTCTTTCTCAGGCTCAGTATTTGCCTGCTTCCTTTCGCTTTCTTCTCCACCAACTGTAGCTTCTGACCGCAGCTGCTCCTCAGAGCCTCACTCACTTCCGCGTCTGTGATATTTTGGGGCTTCCTGAACCCTGGGATGGCGTTCCCATCTGAAGCACTGGGGAATTCTACCAACAGGAGGTTCGAGGGCCCTCCTCCACAGCAGATTGGGTTCCTGTTTCTCACTGCCACCCGCACCCTCAGGCAGAATAAGACCACATGTTTTCTGCTAATATGCATGTGATTGAGCTTGGAATCCCCATTCCAGAGAAACCCTCACTAGCCCTTCATCATCCAAGCACTTCTCGCGCGGAAGTTGGATTTAGTGGTGGCCCCACTCATTGTCTCCCTGTTCTTTCATGTTCTTTCCACACATGGCCTCCAGAACACCATGGCCTCTGGTTTTCCCTCAGCACCATTGGCTGATCCATCTCAGGCTTACTGGAAGCATTCTTCTGTTATTGGAAGCTTCTAAGACCAGTCCTTTGTTTTCCTTTCTCTTTTAACTATATCCACTCCTTGGTGATCCTAGTCACATTGATGCCCTAAGCACCAGCTGTATGCCAAACAACCCCACCATCATTTCACCACACTCTGTTCAAGAGTGCTGGTCACACGCTGCTGTGACCAGCTGCATGACCAGCACTTCCACTTGGATGTTTGATGAACACATCAAGCTTAACTGTGTCCTGCAGGGCCTCCTAATATCTAACAGTCCTGCTGGATTCCAGGGTTCTCCATACCAGTATCTGGTCAGAGCCATCATGGATGCCTTTGTCGAATTCATATACAACCCTTGGCTCAGCCTTAAACTAACCCAGAAGATGCCGTATATTACCCAGGTCCAGGCTCTGAAGTGCAAGTGGGTGTTTGTGTTGAATGTTATCTTCCTTCTCTCACTCAGTTATCTTTCTCCTAGTTTCCATGATCCTGCCCCTATGGTTTACATTTGACGCATCTGCTGGAATGATTACTAAAACTTATGTTGAATCAGGAATGCCCCCTGACCCTTCAGACCTTGATGGCATCCCTTGATATTTGGAATAAGAGTCAAGATCCTTCCAATGTGTATTGAACTGATTGCATAGTGGCTGCAGGCTCTGATGGTCCTGTATCTCCTTTAAAAAGCAATTGTACCGCTCACCTCCACAGGAGGCAAGGTCTATGTCCTGATCCCCGAAATCTGGCCCTGTGGTTTGTTTTGGCCTGCCAAATGCAACTTAAATGACAGTGTGTCACTTCTGAGCCTGGCCTCTCTCGGACCCCTGCTGTATCCATGTGAACAAGCCTGAGCTGTTTGCAGGATGATGAGATACCTCACCTTCTGTGTTACTACTTTTCTCATTGCTGTAGCAAAATGCCTGGAAAAGCAGCTTCAAGAAGGAAGCTTCATTTTCAATTTATAGTTCAAAGATACTGTCCATCTTGGTGGGGATGGCATGGTGGGAGGAGCAGCTGTAGCTGTGGCAGTAGAAATGTGAGGCAGCAGATCACATTGGGTCCACAGTGAGGAAGCTTGTGCAAACACCCTGACAGACATGTTGCCTAGATGTTGTGGAATATTCGTTCAAGATGTGTTTCATTTGTATATGCTGTGGAACATTTGTTTAATGATGCAAAGACGTGTTGCATTCTTCTTTGTTACATTTCTTTAACTCTCTGCCTGTCTAAGACACCTGATTGATCTAATATAGGGCTGAATGGCCAATAGTGAGGCAGGAGAATAGGTGGGGCTGGAGGGCAGAGAGAATAAATAGGAGGAGAAATCTAGGA